CAGATACAGACACAGATACAGATAATACAGTTTAAATAAAACACCATCTACACCTGCACTACATACATACACAAATAGTGTAAATTGAAGCACATTGTTCTCGTTGAACAATTTAAAGTGCTCCGTCATAAGCGGCATACCAATTAAATTGCAATTTATTGGCTGGCTTTGAGCACATAATTGTATAATTATTTTATAAATGAACCCGCATGGCCAACTGCGCTCACAAAATGCAACAAATTAATCCGCCACAATCAAAAAACATTAATCTTATACTTAATAGTGCCAAACAATTATCCACACAAGCTTTATTGTATGCTACACATGCACACACGCACACACTATTTATATGAGTGCGTATGGCAATTAAAACTAAAATACAGAGAGCAAAAAATACATACGTATATGTATGTATATAAAAAAGAAACAAATAAAAAAAATTGAGGGGCGTGACAAACGAGCAGAGAGCAAAATTGCCCTCGGGGCAAATACATATAAAATTGATCCATCAGCTCCAGGGAGCGCGATAAAAGAGAGCTCAGTGCTGCCGAGCGATGGCAAAAGTTATGCGAAAAGTTGCGTTTTTACAATTTGCTTGATAAGAGTTCCCAATAGCCCAACTCACAGAGCCACTGGCGGAGCTCTTCATTTATAACAACATTCGCATTGCTGAGCCAAAAGGTTGCCCAGAATCTCTGACACTTGCACTCCGACCATTATTTTGGCGTGCGGCCAAGAGGAAGAGCAGGATGTGCCGGAAGTGCAGTCAAAGCAGAACTCGCTGCACTTGCAACACTCACAAAGCCAACAACATTAAGATGAAGTAGAAGAAGTCGAAGTGGAAGTGGAAGCAGAAAAGGATGAATCGCTTCACTTACAGCTGTAACAAAGCCAACGTCGAGCAGAGAAACTTTTCCAAGTTTTCTTCAAAACAAACCGCAAAAATTCTTGTCTCTGGTTAGCCGCAATGCAAATACAGCTGCAAGTGGACGGAGAAAACTGCAAAGAAAATACTCAAAAAGAAAAGGAAAAGAAAAAAGAAACAACAACAACAACAAAAAATACTATTGCGTTTACGCCAATTTTGTTATTGATGTTTGTCGATTTCCATTCTTCGCTGTTCTCATTTTCGATTTGCCTTTCTCTTGTTCGCTCTTTCTCTTTCTTTTTTTTTTTTAGCTTATTTCTCACAAACTTTTCGTGCACTTTATGATTATGTGGCCAAACTTTTGTCAGCTCGGCTTTGTGACTGTTCTTTATCGACCCACTCACTTCTACTTGGATCAGTTGTGGCATTATGTTTGCTGCCAAACTAGATGCATGTTTTTTATTGCACGTACACATTCGCAATTCGAAATGGTTGAAAGAAGAGAAATAATTGCACAAATCAAATATTTAGTAACCAAGAATCAGACTTCCACAAAGGCTTGTGCTATGGTCAATTCTGATTTAAATTAAACTAACCCCGAAAATATTTTAGATTATCTTTTCATAATCTAAAAAGATACATGGCAATTGCGTTTTCCATGTATGTTTGTTACATCATAAAAAATTTATTTATAAAAAAA